AGAGAGAGAGAGAGAGAGAGAGAGAGAGAGAGAGAGAGAGAGAGAGAGAGAGAGAGAGAGAGAGAGAGAGAGAGAGTTTTTTCGCAGTCTTCCTTGTCACGGGGCTCGCCGCGACCGCACCAGGGCCGTAGCTGCTCGGCCCGAGTCGGACGCCTCCGCCGCCGGGTCCGTCTCTCACGCCATCGCCGCGCAGCGATTTTAGTGCCCGGCCGTGGCTGAACTCGGCCGAACACGGCCGAACACAGCCAAACTCGGCCGAATCGGCCGCGAACAGCCGAACTTGCCGTGACGGTGGGAGGGGCCGCGGCCACGACCCCTCTGGCTGGCCAGGGAGCTGTTCAGGGTGGGGGGCCATGAGGGTGCCGTCAGGGGTCACTTTTTGAAGGGGGTGGCGAGGACTTCATCGACGGTGTGGAGTGAGTGACGACATCGACGGACGGGCCGAGGACTTCGACGCTCAGAGTTGGCTGTGCATAGCCGCGTGCGGAGTTGGGGGACAATGACGGGGGTGCGGGGACCAGCGGTGCAGGGGGGTCTGCGGGTAAGGGGTTCATCCCACAGTCTGACAGGGAGATGGCGAGGTTGAGGCGGGGCAACTTGGTGTGGAACTTCGTCACCGCGGGCTAACTTGTGGGGGACCAGTCGAAGATGCATGGGGACCGGAAGTTACGTTGCAAATTTTGCAGCCACGTTTGGCAGGGGAACGTGCCATTTCACACAGCCGAAGTACTGCAAGGCTGCGGGGATGAGAGTTCTCGCGGATCTCTGGAACAACATTGACTACAAGTTTGTGGACAGCACTGCTCAGCGGGTGCAGAGGTGGATGGCTGAGGAGGGGATACGCGATACGAGAGCGCCCGCGGGTGGGCAGCGGCCACGGACGGACGACGCAGAGAGGGACGAGGTTCAGGACATCCTAGATGAGCAGGAGGGGGGCAAGGGTGGGGTTGGCGAGGCGGGGATGCGAGACGACGTAGTCAGAGGCCCTTACCTGCCAGGGGAGGAGGTAGTGATGACGTCGAGCGGGGTTGGGCCAGCGGGTCACGCTGCGAGGGTGTCACGACCTGAGTTGGACAGCGCAAGGAGGGAGAAGAGGAAAGTGGAGGAGGAGGACATCGACGTGGGGGACACGACGGGACAGACGACGATCGAGGAGATGTACGACAAGGAGAAGTTGGCCGAGTTCTCAGACGCGTGGCTGCAGTGGATCTATGCGAAGGGGTTGCCATTCAACGCCTTCCGAGGGTCGGAGTTCCAGAGGGTTCACCGGGCGGCAGAGAGAGTACCCCGCGCAGTTCGGTTCCAGTTTCCCTCGTACAGGGTTACAACGGGCGTCGGGATCCCTTCGCAGAGGACGAAGGTAGCGTCGATGGTGAGCGAGGTGCTCTCCGCTTTCCAACACACCGGTGCCACCATCCTCTCGGACGGAAGGAAGTCGCGTAGTGGCAAGCCGCTCGTGAACTTCCTGGCCAGGGGCGCGAACAGCGCCTTGCTGTACGCCACCGTCTCACGTGACGGGTCTGTCTGTGATACGGCGGATATCGTGCATCGCAGGTGGCGGTCCATCATCCTGTCCGTTCCTGCAAAGAACGTGATCGGCTTCTCCGCCAGTAACTATATGGTGGCGGCCCGCAGATTCGCCACAGACCTTGACGCGGATATTAGGAGGATCACTTGGCTTCCTTGCTCCACCCACGTCTGCAACTTGATGTTGTCAGATGTAGGGACGCGAGTGGGTTGGGTCAAGGAGACCATCATCCGTGTCCGACCGTTAGTGCGATTTATTAAGTCCCACGGCGCTGCTCACGCACTTTTCAGGAAGATGAGCCCTCGCGTCATGCTCGTCGAGCCCGTTGAGACCCGGTTTGCATCGGTTTTCCTGATGCTGACGTGTCTCAAAGGCCGGCGGGACGCGCTGGAGAGCATGCTGCACGGCGATGTGTGGGCACGCATCCCGTGGGAGCACAGGCTTCTCCCCCAGGCGCAGTGGGTGCAGCAGCAGATCCGCGACGGGGAGCTCTGGCGATGTGTTGACTGTGCCATCCTCGTTATGGCCCCCATCCACCAGCTACTGAGGAGGATGGATAGGGGGGGGATAATGATGTCCATCGTGTACGAGTGGAGTCAGCATCTGATCGAGTTTATGAGGAGGGTGGATGTGTCGGCGGACATGGTCGAGCCGTGCGTGCGTGAGGTTGCCATCCGCAACCTCCACATGCTCGAGCCCGGACATGCCGCGGCACACCTCCTCAACCCTCGTCGACGATCCCTTCGATATTATGAGTCATTGCAGACGACCAGTGACGACGCCCGTGTGGTCGAGGAGTGCGACAGATTTCTGCTCGCGCAGACCGGCGGCGATCCAGTCGGCAGACTGTACAGGACCGTGCGAGACTAGATGAGGCATTTCCACTCGCGCCGGGGTGATTGGGGAGATCGGCAGTTGTCCGATGCCGAGGCGGACGATTGTCGGGGGGACCGCGAGACCGAGCGTTGTGCGGCGTGGTGGTTTGCTCACGGACATCATCACCCTGAGTTGCGTACCATCGCCATCCGTGTGATGCACTTGTGGACGTCCGCCTCTCCTGCGAAGAGGAACTGGCCGCAGCAAGAGCGCATCAACACGGCGAGGCGCAGCAAGCTTGGGTTTGCCAAGCTAGCACAGTTGGTTGAGATTGCCACCAATCTCAAACTGGCCGCGTGCACGCATCAGGGTGGTGGCTACGTGTTGCTGTTGGTTATGGGGACCGGTCGGGAGGGGAGGAGGATGACGAGGGAGACATGGAGCCCGAGGTGTGGGGAGCGCGACCTGCTGGCAGTGTTAGCGAGCAGGACATCGAGCGCCAGGTCGTGGCTTTCCATGCCTGCCGACCGTCCAGAGCCGACCCGGTTGAGGATGTGTTCCGCAAGAGGGCGTTAGAGCTACGGTCCTGGCCGGAGTACATTGCAGGGGCTGACGACACTCTGGACGCTGATGCGGACGACGACACGTCCGACGACCAGTGAACGGACGATGATGATGCGGCCATCAGTGGCGACGGGACGACGGAGCAGGTGTATTTCACTTACGGTGGAGGACCTGACGGCATGGCTCCACACACATACGTCATTACAGACGATGTGTCGTCGGGTGGATAGGCCAGTTGCACCGGCAGAGCTGGTGGTCGTCGAGGACGATGTCCGCGTGGCGACGAGGATGTCAAGGATCAGGAGCCACTTCGGGGCCTTCGGTAGACCGGCAGACGTTGGGAGGTTAAGAGCGACAACGAGCCGGAGAGGGAGGGCGAGGAGGAGGAGGTGCCCCGTCAGGATCGTCGGTACTCTCGCTCTCATCATCGGACTATGGGACCGCTCGACTAGATGAGGCGTTCGGTGAGGTTGGAGTCGGCAACAGAGAGCGGACGCATGATAGCGAGGACCGTGAGGGGGTGAGGCCTGTGGACATGCCGGACGTGGAGAGGACTCCATTCGGCGCTGTTCTCCTCCCCCGCTCGCCGTCAGAGCTCCGTACCGACGACTTTGACGTCGGGGGATCAGGTGGGGGCTTGGGGGATTTTAGTGCCCTGAGACAGGGCAGTGCCTCGCCGTCGGAGCTCCGTACAGACAACTTCGATGTGTGGGACCGTGAGGAGACTGCGGAGGAGCGGGATGCCCGACTGGACAGAGAGGAGGAGGAGCGGCTGCAGACTTTGCCGGGATGGGAGGGTCGGTTTGCGTATCTGGAGGAGCAGCGTCGACTGAGGGAGTTGGAGACAGGGGGGGTGGCGGCGGTGACGCTGACGACGTGGGTGTCCGTGGGGAGGTTGTTCTGGGAGAGGTCCGAGAGGGTGTTGTCGGAGAGGATATCGACGTGGGTGGCAGGGGAGAGGGTGTCCCCGCGGCTGATGAGGGACAGGGTGTCGCTGCGGGTGGTGGGGGAGAGGGTGGACCTGGTGGAGATGTCGACGGCAACCATCGCGGCGAGGACGATGACGGGTCCGACGACTGTGACGACAGAGATGACCACGGTGGCGACGATGATGAGGATATGCTCGCTTCGGTCGTGAGGGACCCTACACTACCTCTCCTGCGCCCCGACGACTTCGCGCACATTGTGCTCGATGCCGACGGTTTGGCGCAAGTCGGTTCAAAGGGCCCTTTCCCCCATACGGGCCGTAGGAGCGGCGAGAGGCCCCCCCCTGGAGGGCGTATTCACCCCCGGCTTACCTCGTGCAGAGCCCTCGATGGTCGGGTTCGTCACTCAGCGGCATCGGAGGGAGGAAGTCCAGGGTGGTTGAGGGCGGGTCGGACCGCCGCAGTGACGGCGGCAGATCTGCCTGATCGATGCCCCCGCCACCCGCACGAGCCGCAGAGGCGGGCGACAAGGAGACAGCGGCCCGTGCGCACTTTGGTAGTTCCCCGCCGCCTGTCCGAGGTGGTGTCGCTGGCGGATGGGCAGCTCATCGACGAGTCACGGACCGGCTGAGGGCGGATTACGACGCCGGGAGGGGCGCCTTCGCAGGACGTTTGTCACCACAGAGTCAGGCTGCGGAGGGTGGCTCCGGACGTCCGAGCCTTCACATGGCAGGCCGCATGCTCGATTTGTCACGATCGGCGACGAAGAGATCGTTGGTCCTCCCAGCCGCAGGGACATCAACGGACATGCAGCTGGGACAACACTACACATCGGGCGAGGAGGGGTTGGTGATGTGTCGTGGGACTAGACGACACAGCGCCATCACAGAGGTTAAGGCTCGACTCGTAGCAGAGATCGAAGCCGACCAGGCTGCATTGGACGCGATTCAGAGGCAGCGAGAGACGATTGCTGCAGAGGAGGCCGAGGACGAGGACGCTGACACAGAKTCTGAGCCGATCGACAGTGCGGTCCGCAGACACAGATCGGTCGTGGCCGCGGCAGCCGCAGCAGCACAGGCGGCATACATCAGCGGTGCACAGGGCACAGGTGCTGGAGGCAGTGGAGGGGGCCCGGATGGAGTGCAAAGTCGACAGTCCTCCGGGAGAGGCCGCGCGCGTCCTCCTGCAGGGCGGGGCATGTGCCGCTCATCTGGAGGGAGAGGGTGACGTTAGTGTTTTTTTTTTTTTTTTTTTTTTTTTTTTGGTAGG